CCTGGACCACAAAACCAGTCATAAGGGTAAATTTTTTGAATAAATAAGCTTTCCATTGATGTATGATTTGTTAGGATAGGACAATATTTGGCCAAGATACAACTATGAAAATCTGGAATCTGAGGGTAGAAAAAAAATCAAAATACTGAGAAAATCGCCTTTAAAGTTGTCCAAATTAAGTTCTTAGCAATGCATATTACCAATCAAAAATTACGTTTTGATATATTTACGGTAGGACATTTACAAAATATCTTCATGGAACATGATCTTTACTTAATTTCCTAATGATTTTTGGCATAAAAGAAAAATTGATAATTTTGACCCATACAATGTTTTTTTTGGCTATTGCTAAAAATATACCCAAGCGACTTAAGACTGGTTTTGTGGTTCAGGGTCACATATTATCGAAACAAAAACTTTTATTTTGGATGTGATTAATCGCGATTAATAATTTGACAGCACTACTCAGAAGCCAGTGCCGATGTGTCTCACCTTAAAAAAGCTGCTGCTTCGGTCCATGAGACAGAACTGCATCATCATCTCTGTAGACATGGTTGGGTGTATGCAGCTCTTCTGTGTCAGGCTGGGTCTCTGTGGATCACAGACACATAACTTTATCTGAAGCCCAAGCAGAGGAAATCTCAACCCATTCCACACGGATAGGCCAGAGAAATAAGCATACAAGACTTATAGCAGGAGCCTGCAATACATGCACCTTAGGCACACTCTAAAGTTCATTAAAAGCCCTCTTCTCATTCAACTCACTTCCTGCCAGATGAATTAACTTGAACTACTCCCTTTATACACACAATACTGTCTTATACTGTACATACACACAGTCACATGCTCAAACACATCTTGTCCTAGATTGCTCATAAGAAAATGTGCAGCCAATATTATCTGTTACAGCAAGGGAATTTAACATGTTAATTAATAATTACTGTATACTCTGTAAATTGTGTTAGCCAAGGTCTTCAATTTTATATATATATCACACACACACATACATACATTTGCTTAGAGATCATGGGAGAACTGGTAAAGCAAATACAGATGACAGTCTGAGTTTAAATCTTTTGTTCACCCACTTTTGTAAAGAAGTTTTCAAAACAGCCTGAGGCATATTACAGGGAGGGGGATCAGCTGGGAGACTGGCAGAGACAAAACCAGGGCAAAGGTTAAGCTGTGAGAAAGGGTGGTGGAAGAGGGAAGGTAGAGGAACATACAACATTCTAATGCACTTAATCAGCTGTGAATGCACTGCTCAGCTCAGGTAAGAATCAAAACCAGCTCCATGCACAAAAAGAAACCCCTGGAATGTATCATTTATCACCCGATAAATGTACTGATGAAAGTAGGCTATATCTCACTGATTTTAACTCCTGCTTCTCGTAGCTGTATGGGATAGTTCACCCAAAAATACAAATTCTGTAATTAATTACTCACCCTCATGTTGTTTCAAAACAGTAAGATCTTTGTTCATCTTTGGAACACAAATTAAGATATTTTTAGCTTTCAGACCCTGCATAGACAGCAATGTAACTGAAATTTCCCAGGCCCTATGGAGGGTCAGAAAGCTCTCAGAATGCTCTCTTTACACCTATATATAATGAGTTCAAACCATGAATGGGCTGAAGTGATTAAAGGCTGAAGGGACTATGGAGGGAGCTTTTTGTATTGTACACAACATTTGTTGACTGCATTAATGCGTCCTGCCAGAGAAATTTTAAACAATACAGCTATTTAAACAGCCACATCACCCAATGCTGCTTCTGCAGGTCACTTTGTTCGAGATGAGCAAGCGTCTCTCTCCTGCTGTAGAAGATTGTCATCAGCTGGAGCAAGAGCGCTGACCCACTTCCAGATGCTGCAGATCCAGCACAGCTGTCTGAGTTATGCACAGCAGCGTTTTCCTCCACAGACAGCACAGTCTTGCAGTGTCAACCTGACTCTGCTCTTACCGTCGACAAACGAAACACAAAGCCTTTTTTCACTGGTTGAATTTATGTGTTGAGCTAAGTTAACACAAAGCTGCTGTCTGGGTGCTGACACTGTAAAGGAAATCATGGCAAACGTGCAGCTCAGCTCACAAAGCCTTTGATGTGACCATCAGAAGCTTTGAAAAGAACCAGCATCTCCCCTCAAATCATTGCTTTCTTCTGCACAAATCGCTATGGACTCTTGTGTCCTCCAGAGCCAATTTATCAACATTGCCAAGTTCAGACTGTCCTCTGGGTGGAAGGTCCTTGAGTAAAACAAAGCCTGGAATTCCCTCCCCCATATCCATGAAACAACATCTCTTTACATATTCAAAATGTATCCGTTCACTTACAGTTATTTAAATGTATCTATTTTATCAATTAAATTGATCTTTTCTTATTCTTCTTTCTCCTGTCTTGCTTTTCTTTGTTCTTTTAAGTATTATTCCTGTCTTTTATCTTATTTTGTCATGTAGTTTGTGTTTTTTAAAGATTAATACTAATAGCCTAGTTATTCGTTTATTTTACTTTATTTACACACTTAACATCCATCTGCAAAACAATAAAGTATTATTATTGCTGCTGTTTAATAATTGTAATATCATTCTAATGATAACATTTTAATAATAATTATTATTATTTATAGTAATTGGACATTATTATTTATTATTATTTTGTGATTTAATAACAGTATTAAAATGTTATTTATTAATATTATTATCAATAGCTAATATATTGTTAATAATAGAATTATTATTTTATTATTTAGCTAAAATATTATTGAATAATTATATTGAATGATAAAACTATTAGAGAGAAACAAATCCCAACTGTGATGCACATAAACTAAATCTTCACCTCATTAAATGGATAGTCCACTAGGGCTGCAACAAACAATTATTTTGATAACTGACAATAATCCAATAATCTAATGAATATTAGAATGATTTTTTCATCGTCTCAATCGCTCTTCTCCAAATCAATCCCACAGTTTTTAACTTCTTTTTTTTTCTCTCATTTCCTGACCAGTTGTCACGCTCAGCGGCAAGCCTCAGTACAATCCAAAGGGCACAACTCTCACAACCACCCAGCTTCTTGGAAAAAATACAGCAGCGAAAACTGAGTTTAACATTTTTATGCGTTTGTGGTGGTGGTTTTTCAGAAAATAGCTGGAGATGAAGGTGGGGTACAAGAGAAATCTGAGTGAGTTCCAGGTATTTCCTGTGAAGCATCGTTCCTGAGCTGACAGATATAGATTGAGTTTGACGTTAATCTACTCCTCTCTGTGAAGGGGCTTCACCTCATGTTGTTGCTGTAACGAGGCATCACAACACACATTCATCTTTCCTCAGCAGGGCTCATCAACAAAATTTTTTTCTGCTTGCACTGCCAACATTACCGTCCACAGCTATATCAATAAACATACATAAGTTTGCTGTAAAATGATGACATATGATGCAAAACAAGTGACAGTTCCATCATCTGGCTCGAAACTCTCTCACAATGGCCCCAGGACATCAAGCAAACCATTGTTGAGCCCTGCTCAGTATATCAGCCAGAAAAAGCAAGCTGTTATTTACCTTGCATCATCCGGTTTCTGTGCCTGTATCTGTTTTTGAAAGACTCAACAAAACGTGCACACGCATACGGCTCGGTGAGTAAACAGGAAACCCCTTGGACTGCCAGCACGGGCAGAATAAACAGGCTAAGTTATTAACTGGCCACTGTGGAGCACAGACATGCAGAGAGAGAAAGTCCAGTTCAATTGGTCATTTATCTCCCTCGCCCGCTATCATCTCAAAAGGGATGTCACGGCACTGGGATACATGGAAAACTAGAGTTGAAAGGAACAGCCTTTGTTAGTGTGCCATCCAAAATGTCAACAACTGCAAACAACACAAGATCAGAGGCAAACTTTTATCCTGTTTCCATCAAAACAGGATCATTTGTTATTGCGTGCTGGCTTGTACCTTTGCACAAAATGTTCAGCATGCCAGTTTGTGTATATATATATATATATATGTGTGTGTGTGTGTGTGTGGACGTAAAAGACCAATGAGCTAGGCTGTTTGGACCCACACAAAGGCACATCTGAACTACGAAGCACAGAGCGACTCTGTGTCCTGCACACACACGCACACATAACAGGTGCGTGGTAGCAGAGAGGATTTTCTGTAGTCTGGAGAGACCTGGCAGGGCTTGACAGGAAATTGAGCTTGCAAGCAATTAAAGGGGCTGAGCCATAAACAAAGAGAACAAATATAACAAGAATGTGAAACACGGCTCAGTATTTCTGGGATTCTTATCCTGGGCTGATGTAAACACAAAACAAAAACTCTGAGTGCAGCGCATCTTAATATAAGCATGACAATGAACAGCGGGGACAGTGACAGTTTTTAGGACAAAACAACATGCCACTCTTAAAAAAAAAACCTTGCCAAAACACTGACAGCCTTGGAAATTGCAGGAGAACAGTGCAGCATGACTGAGAAACAAATCCAAATGTGACTCACACAAACAAAATCCACATTTCATTAAAGGGATAGTTTGCCAAATGATAAAAATGTTCGGAAAGGTTTCTTGTATAAGTTGTGTTCTGTACAAGATAACCATTTGTGTTTTCTTGTGATTATACATTTACTTTATGTTACTTCTTGTGCAATAATAATGCACAATATATTTACACTACCAATCAAATCTGTAAGATTTTCTAATGTTTTGTAAGAAGTCTCTTGTTTTCTAATGTTTTGTAAAAGTTCAATTCACTGTCAAATGCTCCTTCGGAAATCAATTTGGTGCTCAAGAATTATTTCTTTTCATTATCAATGTTAATATTTTTGTGAAAACCTTGATGCATTTTTTTTTATTCAATTCAAGACTTTGTTGTCATACAGGAAACTGTCAGTTACACCGTGACCATACAATTAAATTCTTACTCCTCGTGAATCCTCTCAGCAGCCAATGACATAAGTTAACAAAGGACACAATATATAAACTACAAATTTACAATGACAAAATTACTAAAATTACAAGATTACTAATAGTGCAGAAAGCAAGAAACTAAATTATTGCATGTATAAAATTATTGCATGGTTAATAAAACATTCAAAAGAACAGCATTGATTTAAAACTGAAATCTTTAGTAACATTATAAATGTGTTAACTGTCTTTTTTGTCAAAAATAACATTTTTGATAAACAAACGTTTTAATTTCTAAGTATTTTTCTTTAAGTTTCTAGTCAATGTTTTGTGCACCAGAAACAGACATATTTTCCATCCTTTCTCAAGACGGACATAAATGCCCTCTGATTGGCTAACCTATTCGCATGTTAGATGAGAAACAGCATTTACAGTATACTTTCATGTTAGTGTTCAACAGTGTTTTGCAATCAAAGTGAATCCGTATATGCATTTAGCAACTGAGCAATGGGCTTTTTCCCCATTCCAGTTAATGTAACCAACAGAGGAAGTCACAGTGTGTTACTGAATGACGTAGTCTTTCCAGTCCTGTTGGACTCGAAATGTGTTGCTTTAGACTCAAAGTGTGATTCACAGCTAATGAAACCAGATGTGCTGTTTGTATAGGTTATGAAGTTTGTATTGAAGAGATCTTGTGAGTAATATTAAACAGCAAACGAATTAAAGTCTAAACAAAAGTCAACAATAAAATATGTCCACATGCAGTGCAGAGGAGTTTATAAATCACCCAAAAATGACTTAAGTCACAAGTATGCTAAATTATTTAATTTCCCTTGAGTTTCCTATATTCTTCTGAGAGAATTTTACAGCCGACTTAATTGTTAACATATCTACAATATATGTTCAAGACCATAAATAGGACAATAAAAGCACATTTCGCACACACATTCAAAGAATTATACTAATAAATCATCCTCAAGTCTGATGCAGTGGTTAGACAGAATGTGAGAAGGGGAAGGGAGAGGAAAAAGAAACTGGGTTTCTATTGGATAATGAAGTCGTCTGGCACTGTGTTAAGACCCTGCTGCTATATGGCCCTCCACCTCCCAAAAACCCGTCTGGAAAAAATCCAGCTCTGCTCAAAGCCTGTAGAGAGCTCTACCCGCCCATGGGGGATAGCAGCCTTGAGGGACAACAACAGTTAAAATCTTCACACGCTACAGTCATCTCTGCTTCAGAAACAACATCAACATATTTTATTTGGGCAACATCATGAAGACTTCATTCAAACAAACTGATTCACTCAAAAATGCCTGAGTTTGTGCCTTTTCAAATGGGGTTTTAGGTAACATACATTGATAGATCCAGCTGTTAGATCCAGTCTCTCTTCCATTGGAGTGACTCTCATCAGTTTTGTGGTCTGTTTACAACCCAAATGATGTCTCGTTGCACAACCATGCAAAGCCATTTTAATAAAATATGACATATAAACTCACACCTAGATTAGATTTGTTTGTTGTGTCAGTTGTGGTAAGACTTTTCTGTTGTTATGCTGACACCATCTTTGATATTTACTTTAACCACTATCACTATGGTTACAGGCATTATCCACGGTTACTGCAAACACAGAATAGCCAAATTAAACTGCCCGATATTTTTATCACTCTTGTGTTGTTGTTGGGATGTTACTGTCAGTTTTGCATCACTGAATCATTTACTCAACCAATTCAGCCAACCATATTGATTTATTTAGAAATGGGACTCTTTATGATTGATTAATTTAAACATTTACTCAAACATTTTGTTCAAACAATAATTCATTCAGAAATTAAATAAGTGATGAGTCATTTAATCATTTGCTCAACTGATTCACTCAAACGCACTCACTCATTCAGAAACAAAACTAATGGCAAGTCACTGAATCATTTACTGACCGATTTGTTCAAGCTCACTGACAAAGACGCCAAAAACAGAGTTTGTGTCAACTCTTACCAACTGTTTTTGAAACTCTAAAATGTCTGATCTCCATAGTAAAGTGATTGACACACAAGTAAATTACACTTTCTTGCAATACCCCTCAGAATCCAGAGTCAAATGTATTAAAACCATTGATGCAGTTTCAGAATGCACAACTTAAAAAAGAAAAATAAATAAATAAAAACCCCTGAAGACCTGAAATCTGTTCATTCAAGTTAAAGTGGTTTTTAAGCTCAGTCTCCTGCTGCTGTGACTGTAAGGATTGCGGAGAGACTTGGAAAGGCTCAGAAAAATGACATTAACAGGCACAGCTGCAAAAGCAGGCAAAACAGTGACAAAACACACTCAAAATAGCCTTTCGTTACCGCAGACTGCAGCACAGACCAACAAACCCAAACCATCTGAATGCCACTGGCCAGACTTCATAAGTGAAGGCTAAAAGATGACCATTTAAACCTGATCAAATACATGCACTGCCTCTCAATATTTCATCTCAACCATATCTAGGCCTACTCACAACATGGGATGGGTGTGATCCCCAGATCCCCAGACAAGAGAAGCACTTAAACACACATTCAGAGGGAGCAGGCAGAGGCCAGCGCACTACAGGATGTGGCCAGCTCCACCCCACATAGCATGTCCCAGAGCAATAACCAGACAAAATGAGGATCAAACAACGATTTTTATACATGTGCTGACAAATTCCAGACTCATATATCGGGCTGTTCTTGCATTTAAGTGCTTAGTCCACATCTTTAATTCAGGTTCATCAAGTTTCCTTTCCTCTGCTGCCCTGAATCTGGCTCCAAACACACCTTTTTGATCTACTTAAAAGTTTCCTACTCCTCAGAACTTACCCTTTCTCTCTCTCTCCATTTCCTAGTTTCTGTGTCTCTCATTCAGACGGTGCACTGGGAAGCGTGAGGTGATTCCGTGGGAAAGGCTCTTGGCAGACTGGCAGCTTCCTGACTGCAAGAGCTGATATAATTTCTAGAGTGCTGGACTGGATACCGGATGATCTTCCGAAGAAGAAAACAATTGCTTCATCTTGCCCATTACGCTATTATTATCCTTCTCATTGTCTTCAGAAAAGGTCTGAAGCAGGTTGTCATGATAAGAAGAGGTTTTGAGTGCCATCTTCAATCCAGTCCATGTTTATGTTTAAGTCCAAATTTCTTTGGTTTCCATAAAACATAACCCCTCCCAACCAAAACAACAAACCTGTTTGAAGGTTTTTAAATACCAAAATAGCAACGCTGAAGAAACAAAACAAGTTTTCTTTGCTAAAGCTGGATTCCAGCCACATCGCATCATCCAAAACTCTGAGATATGAGGATGTATGGTAGTTAAAAGGAAAAGAAAACTGAAAAAACAAGTGTAATATTTCATAAGGAAATTTCCAGGTTCATTACAAGTTTAATACATCATTTGATAATATCAATTACCATAAAAAAGCAAAAATCATGGTTATAATAAGACATTTACAAAAGAATTTGATGGATGTCAAACTCATATTTTTGTAAAGCACTGAAACCATCCATAAAAAGTAATTCGAGCTATAAAGTTGTAATATCTGTGGGCATTGCCAGTATATCAACAAAGATGTCATGTCATGCCTTCAGGTACAGAAAGATAGCAGAAAGCTGTTGATTAGATTGTTTCTGGCTGTTTTTTTGGTCATAAATGTGTAGGTAAGTTGCTTTTTAAGGGATAAGTCCAAATTATTTTCTGTGGTAATTCACATTATGCCACAAAAGTTGTTGCTTTAGCTTAACTGCATTGAAGCTGAAACATTCCTTTAAGACGGAGGGACGGTGTCCTGCAGAGTTTAGCTCCAACTTGCCTCAACACACCTGACTGGAAGTTTCTATGCCTAGTAAGAGCTTGATTAGCTGGTTCAGGTGTGTTTAATTAGGGTTGGAGCTAAACTCTGCAGGGCACCGGCCCTCCAGGACCGAGTTTGGACAGCCCTGCTTTAAGAGAAAATGAGGTCTGCATGTGCTGAATACAGTCTCACTTCAGTGGGGAAGACAGATAAACCATTAGATCTCGCTCATATAAATCACACTTAAGAAGCAAACATGTGAAGCCGGCTCCCCTTACCTAATCTGTTCGCTTCCCTTTACTTTAACTTATCACTTCCTGGTCTTCGTTCATCAAGAATTCCTCCATTATTTAGCATGTCACTATTCCTACAGAAAATAAAATGAAGACAAAATAATTTTTTAGCCTTTTCACCACATTTTCAGATGCGCACAGCCAGGCAAAATTGGGTAAAATTGGAATGCAAGTGAAGGTTTTTTTTTTGTTGGTTGCTATTGTGATGGGAAGATATAGTCAGCATTATCTGCTTCAAAACAGGCTTTAGTCCCAATGGGTCTCAGTGTTTTAAATATTTGAGGTTTGCTCTGTGTTTGAACCTCCAATTGGCCCACAAAATGTAAACAAGGCAAAAAATATTCAGTGTGGACACAAGAGTTTGGGGTCGGTAGGATTATACTCATCAAAGCTAAATTTATTTGATCAAAAACACAATAAAAACTAGTAATATGGTGGATTTTTTTTTAAAAACAATTAAAAACAAAATGTTCTATTTCAGTTTATTTGTGTCTGCAAATCTGATAGCAGCTATTACTCCAGTCTTCAGAGTCACATGATCTTTCAGAATTCACTATAATCACTATAATATGCTGTTTTTGTGCTCAAGAAACATTTCTTGTTTATGATCAATGTAGAAAACAGCCAGTGCTTATTTTTTGAGAAAATCAGAAAAAAATATTTAATTATTTGAAAATATTTATTCTTTTGTAACATTACAAACCTTTTGCTGTCACTTTTGATCAATAAAACTGAACATTTTATTTTATTTTAATTTTTTTAATCTTACCACAAACTTTTGAATGGTAGTCTATTATAAGGGAACGGAGACAAGGTGAATAACTGAAAGGAAACAAGCAAGGAAGTGTTTAAGTAAAAAATATTAAAACTATGTGCAGTTTGACACACTACATAGTATCACTCTGTGTGAGTATTTGGCTTGTTTTTCAATTCTGCGGTTAAACTAAATATGATATCTCTTTACCTCATTATATCTCTCACTTTGCATTCATTGCTCTGATCGGCTGACCATAAGAGATCACATTTCATTTCAAAATTGTCAAGCTATTTAATCATATACCCACCACATTCACTGAAATCAGTGTAACAACTATCAATACTGTCAGCAGACACTAAAATTATGATGACAAATTACAGTACACGGAATTACCATAATGAAGACACCTCAGTCACGGCTGACACCTCAGCATTTGAGTAGCGCTCAGTGGTCACAATTCCAGCAAACCGCAGCTTAAATAAAGTAAATATGACTGCTATGTAGAGTAATGAAATGGATCAAAACATTCTCTTCCAAACTAATCCAATGCCAGTCACTGCACAACACTAAAATTCTTGTCAAATGACGCATGTTTTGGGCAGGTTACTTCCCTTTGCCTGAGACTAATCCTCTTAACAGGCCTCAGAGCCACTGCTGAAATATTGGTGGGGAAGAAACGAAAAATCTGGTGGGACGATTTTTAGAAAAAATTTTAGTGATGAATGCAATCAATTTGTATGACAGCAATAAAAGAGAATTGATGAATAAAGCACAAGTGGTGGATAAGTAAGCACACTCACTATATCACAAGGACTTTCCATTGACTTCCCACAAAAAATAAATAAATAAAATAATATTAATAACAACAACACAATTTTTACATTTCGAATACAGTTCTACCATGCTGGTTGCACCGTGCTCTTCTGTCACTTCATCTTTTTATTTTGGTGTGCCGCTGAGGAAGGCTTTGAGCTGAAACGTTTGTCTTTTCCCATCAACGATGAATGTAAAATAAAATGAAAAAAGACGACTGTTTTCGTGAGTGTGGATCATGATCTCCTATATTACATTTTGATTACGCCATTAACCTATTTTCCTCAAAGGGGCTGTTAAATTTTTTTATTGTCCAGAGACACAACCAAGTTTTAGGAGATGCCAAAATTTGGCAAACATTTTACAACAACCTGTTCTGATGTAATTAACTCTTCAAAAAATCTTGAAATCATTGTGTACTGGTTATGAGGATCGCGGTGAAGCTAACTTGACCCCTACACTGAGTTTACTTCCCTCTCTTTCAGAGTTCACAAAGAAACATATAAGAGGAAGTGCAATCTGTTTTCCAGTGCAAAATGATATGATCTTTAACATGAAATTTTGCATAAAAACTTACACTAATACAAAAACACACTGTTCAGTGCTGTACTACAGCTTTTCTTTTTCTTGCGGACATAATTAACATACATACCATTCACCTAAGAAATAAATTAATGTGTTTCAAAACCTAAGCTGACTCATATTCATTACAACCTTGTGGGTATATCGATAAAGTCTAGACATAATGTAGCTCAGGACGTTTTACAGATCTTGACAAATTGGACTTTCCTTGACATCATCCTTAAAACTTTCAAAACATCATGAAGACATTCAACAACATAACATCACATTACATTACATGTATGTTTCCTATAGACCATTTTTAACCAGAGAAACCTGCATAACACAATTACCGGCTGACAACAATAACAGTTTTGCTTCTTGTAGACAAAGCAAGTGGTAGTTACTAAAAAGAAGTCACCAAAGTATCAAACTATCCTTACTGGTGTTAACCCAGCATATTTAAAACACCATTACTATCACGAGTGATTAAGTGTTTATAAAATATAACTACAAAACATAAACGTGTAATATATGCTCCAAACTGTTGTAACAACAAATTTAAGATTTTTTTTATTATTATTTGAACAAGTAACACACAAAAAGAAGAAACGTTTAAAATGCATTTAAGACTAAGCTGACTTACAGCAGACTTGCTTATAAACAGTGTGTGGGACTCACCTCGACGGGTCGAAACCAAAACACCCGCTAGCAAAAGCGCAGTTACGCATTTATAAGACCTGGATGATCTTCCTCCAAAGGCTCAGTTGATGTTAACAGTTTTAGATGTTCTTACACGACCGAGTCGAGGTTGCTTGCTTCCTTGTACTTTGCAAGAAAGACTCGTAGCATGCGACCTCTCCTGGCAAAAACAAACTCCAGGAGAACAAAAGTTGATGTGCATTAAGTTTCACGTCACGTGTTCCAGTCGGGAATGTCTTTGGAAGGGAAAAGCCTTTGTTAGACCCACCAACCACTGATGTTACTCAGAGAGGAACATGAAAGAACCGGAAAGACAGTGGAAAACTATGGAGGGCCAAAGCTGCACAAATCGAAACAATTAAGTAAATGACCGGTGGGTTAAATATCTCTAAAATTTCACTTCCTTGAATCATTTATTAAAGCAAAGAAACCAAAGCAAAAATTACCAAAATAACACTGGTTTTTATTATATACGTGATATTACAAATATTCTGTTAACTGTCATTACCAATCAAATTGTCATTTTGTCAAATTATGCATATAAGGCGTTATATATTATAGTATTTAGGATATATAAAATACAAGCTGTAAAATTAGCTGTAAAAGTCTGACATTTTATTACATCTATGTTAATATGCCATTTCCATAGTAGAATGTGATTAAACAGTACATTGTTTGAGATATGATGGAAATTACACTACAAGCTATGACAAATTCCCATGTACTCTTCAACCATGCTGATTAAAAAATTAAACACTACAGTGATAGTAAAAAAAAAAAAAAAAAAAGTGTTTTGAGGGACTTGAAGGAAGATTATGTTAGATCATCTTGTACTTTTCTAACATTAAGTAAATTGAAAGTAAAAGTGTCACATAAATTGAAAATAGTGTCTCAATAAACATGAAACACTCAAATAACACAAATGAATTCACCACAGAAAACGTTAATGGATAAAAAGTTTTTAATGTGTTTTTATATATGCCAGGAAGCAAGAGTTCTTAGAAAACTGTTGGAAAATGGTCCACATTAATAAAGATACCAAGTGAGTAAGTGCATTTAGCTATGTTATTGAGAAAAGTCATTAAATTACATTTGAGAAATTTCTTTTTTCTACAGCAATCTGACATTTTCTGTGACACTTATTAACTCATTAATGTTTGAAATTTTGAACTCTGATGTCTATTTATTGTCATAACAATGGCACAAAACCACCCAAAGCAGTCTTAATTTTCAATTTGCAAAATGTATTGCAAAATGTAAAATTTAAAATGGAAATATACTGCCATCAGCGTTTAAAACAACACATTTTAAAATATAATTAAAACAAAATTGCATGGGTAAAAGAGTCATTATAACAGAATTATTTACATTTACCCATTACTTGTTAAAGATTAATGCTGTAATTTGAAAATCTGCAAATTATTCTCGTAACAATAGTATATTTTAACAAAGAAAACAAAGCAAATATTGTAACAGAAAGAATGTAATATGGCAAAAAAGAAACATAATTTGAAAGCCAATCCTTCACACTCATGTCATTTCTTCATTCACTGATTTCACTTTACTTGTCTTTGGACATTTAGTCATACAACACTTAGTGTAATTATATTGTCACCTGAATCTCCCCAGAATCCAGCTGGTTATGGTTAAGCTGGGTATGATCCTCCACAGTACTGTCATATTTGGGACAGATGAACTCAACAGGTTTCCAATGCGGTCTTCGTCCACTTCCTCTTTGTCGGAAAGGGGCAAACCGCAACCATTTCTTGACTACATCAGCAAACTGGTGGTGCGTGGCCTCCTTTCCTACAGGTGTCCTTTTCAAGGCACCTGCAGAAAACGGGGTTAAAACAATCTATCACATGGGAAATGTTGAGGATCCTAAAAAGTCAGTGATACACCTGAAGATGCATCTGCACCGAGACATGATTTTAAAGACTGCTTACGAAACAAAACACCCTGCAGTCTGGTGTTTCTGAAGCTCCTTTTCTGTCCTCTGCCAACCCAGTTGAGCTCTGAGCCCACACTGAAAGAGAGAACAGCGTGCATAAGACGCCGGACCGCATCATCTACCGTAGCTCCACCCATCCGTGAGAGGTGTGACACCTATGGAAAAATCAAAAAATGAATAAATACTCAGTACAAATACAGGAGGGGACAACGTAACCAGAAAAGTTTTGTAGAAAGAAATATAAAACTAGAACCACAAGCAAACAATATTGTTCTAAACTATTATTTTGGACTACACAACTACCTCCATAAAATGTAAACTTCCTGTCCTGACTGAGGTTTACAAAGTAACATAACCTATTATTACATGCACTGCAGTAATTGTAGATTGTAGAGCAGACTGACAGTAATGATTTTTTACCATTCTTTTCTGAGCTTCAGTATCCTCTAAATGCTGCTCTGTTTCATCAAGCTGTTCCATTGTTCGTAGTGGCAGATCTACGTCAAGCGGCTCATCCTCCTCTTCACACACCTGTCCATGAATCCTGGACTGCAGGTCTTTCAGAACTTCCCACTGCCTCTGTTGCTCCTCCTTGATCTCAATAAGGAGTGATAGGATTTGTCTATGGGCTGCTGTCTCTGTAATTGTATGAAATGTATATTAAGTGAAGACTTACAGAAGGTTAAAGGAATAGTTCACCCAAAAATAAAAATTTGCTTTAAATTTACTCAGCCTCAGGTCATCCAGGATGTAGATGAGTTTGCTGGATTATTTTGATGTTTTTATCAGCTGTTTTAACTCTCATTCTGACGGCACCCATTCACTGCAGTGGATCATTTGCGAGCAACTAATGTAATGTTACATTTCTCCAAATCTGTTCCAGTGAAGACTTAACCACAACTTCCTGAGTGCAAGTACGGTTTATTATCCACCCACATATTCGTTTAGAGCTGTTTTGGACTGTTTTGGCTTGTAAACTGTGCTTTATCTGTTCATATTTCTCTCCTGATTCAGACCAGATTACTTTTTTACTGGAGGAAGCAATGTGTATTTTAGCCGGAACCAACAGTCTGAGGCTAAAAGTTCTTAATGCTCGATTTGTTTCTCACAAACGTGGAGTATTTGTGGATTATTGGAATGTTTTTATCAGCTGTTTTAACTCTCATTCTGACGGCACCCATTCACTGCAGTGGATCATTTGCGAGCAACTAATGTAATGTTACATTTCTCCAAATCTGTTCCAGTGAAGACTTAACCACAACTTCCTGAGTGCAAGTACGGTTTAATTTAGCAAATTAAAATTTTTGTGTTTACCGTTTTAAAAATCAGCATTCACATCAAAACTGCTGCGTCAGTTTCATTTGTGGGAAAAAAAAATATTGCCAATAATAATAAAGGTGGTGGCTTGTTTACTAAATAACTTTGGTGATAACGGTCAAAAGATTTTATTAATATAGATTTTTTTTTAACATTAGGTGCTTTTATCATATTTGATCTAAATAAATAACCAAATGACCCGAGTTGTTTAGCACACCAAGTTAACTATGTAAAAACTATGCAAGTTAGCAATTTTATGTTAAAACAAAATAAGATAGTACCTAATCAACTGTCAACTACCAACTAATAATACCTATATCAAAAAACTTAAAATCTCAATGCAAAAGACATTTTTTAACAAGACAAAGTTCCATAATGATAGAAGGGAATGGATGTGCAAGTCCGTTTCAATGTAAACATAACCATTTTTACTCTTTTCACTTCCCAGTACCTGGTGTTGAAGACGCATCCTCGCGCATTAACTTTCCCGCCACTCCTGCAGGATTGTAGGACTGTGAATCCGCGCTGAAATTCACCTCGGCCCGCCCAGGGATGTCTTCTGCGCTTCTGCTCAAGTCTCCTGGCAGAGGGTGCATATCCTCCTCAGACACCGCTGAGCGTCTCTTTGCCATGTCTGCCATGTGTTTACTTACTAAACCCTCCGCCCGGCGATTTATGGCCCAGTTCACGCGACTGACACTGTTTGGGTCCATTTATATGGATGTACTTACACACTTACAAACAACACGTCATGCGAAATTTAATCTCTTAACATGCATCTCTTAATAAACACTGCGATATGTACGAGAAATAGGCGGAAATGGTTATCAAACAGTCCCCAGCCACCGCACGTACCACGTTACGCAAACGTCACAGAAACGTTTGCAGAATGTTGGGAGATTTGAATGAACTACAATTCCCACAAGCGTTGCGGGCTGGTGACGTCACCCATTGCTCACACTTAAATTGACCTAAATCTCATTTTCGACAGAAGTACATCTTTTATAAGAGTCTTTGCAAATGATTACCCATAAAAGATTATAATTTTTGCTGATAACTACTAATATAATTAATCGTTTTCATTTTATTTAGTTCTTTGTGCAATATGGATATGAAAAGCTACAAAAATAAAGAATTAAATAAATTAACCCTGTAAATATTAATAAAAAATAAAAAATTAATTAATGTGTTATTGAGTTGTAAAGTTAAAGATTAATAGCCTACATTTAAACCGTAGTAGATTAAGTTAAAATTAGTTTCGAAATGCATTATAAATTAAAGGCAGCCCTTTCCTTTCTCTTACATATTCACTGAGATCCATGTTTTTATTTCAGTGTTTTAAAAATTGATCAAGGAGCTGTAGCCAAATAGGCTATGTTATTTGAGATGTATTTGGCTATATTATATATTACATATAGGCTATTTATACTCATTTCATTGATTCATTTATTGATTAGTCATTCATATTATATTATATATTTATCTTATACTATTTTTCCATTGTTGTTTAGTCTTATGATTGTGTGGGTTCAAGGGAAATGTGTATTCACGTCACGAGTAAGAGATAAGAGACTGCCTCCATTTCAAGGTTGTGAAGCAGTAATTTTCCATTGCTATTTCTTGTGATATAATAACACTTGTTGGATTGGTGTTGGTCAGATGAAGTCTGGGCATTGAAACATACCTAAGATTATTTATACACTCTGCTTCTTTTTTTATTACCATACTCCATCTCCTGCTTCTTCTCTGGCTTTACTCAGTCAACTTCTTGGCTGATAGAAGACAATTAATATGTTTTTGGGTATTAGACAACTTTGCTGAGTTGTTCTGTTAGATAAAACGGATATTTTCTGACAGGATCTAGTGTCCGGGGC